CATTGTAGGACTCATTTGTACTTTGCAATATAGTTTCAGGGTTATGAACATTAGGCTCTCCATCAGCGGACATTTTTGAATTATATCTATCAAAACAATAAGATAAATTATCAAATAGTTGGAGCCCAAAGTAAATAATATAGGAACTAATTGAGAGAGTAAGAAGTTTAAGGGAGTGAAAAAGCTAATGAATTGACATGTTATTTAACATAAAATGAAAAAAAAGGGCGTGGAGACACGTTTTTTAAGGGAGTGAAAAAAGCTAATGAATTAAACATGTTATTTAACAGAAAAATGAAAAAAAAAAGGCGTGGAGACACGTGTCTCCGCACTGGGATAAAAAACAGCGCGGAGCCATGACATGGGAAGACGCGAAGTCTATTTTTCCAACACAAGTGATTGCACATGTGCACTGAAAAAAAAAAAAATCCTCCGCACATTGCGGAGACACTGTGTCCCGCAGGTGTACGCGATCTGCGGACACCAAAGCATGGTGTCTAGACACCAGTGCACATGTGCGGAGAATTTTTTTTATTTTTTTTGCAATCACTCGTGTTTCATTTCATGTCTAAAATAAGTCTCATATGCAAAATCCATCATTCCTCTACGCTAGAAAAGAAAAACTACAAGCTAACTAAATTAAAAACATTATTCCAACAAATTTGGATAACAATTGTATCTCGAACACAATCAATGATGGTAGCAGCTCCATTCTCTCTAAAATAAACATAGAACAACCCGACCAAAACAGTAACCCGTTGGAAGTTAAATTAAAATAATTACGAAGTCTCCGTAAATTTCAAAAAACTTTAAAAATAAAACTACAGACTAACAGGAAAATTAAGGGAAAAATTAACAAACCTTTTGAAGGATTTTTTTGTCTCTCTCTAAACGAAGTCGAAGAAGAAGGTATACTCCATTTGAATTCTTGGGTAAACGTTTGCTTTTGTTTGTAATGAAGAAGAAAGAAATTGATGAATGAAAGTGAAGGAGGAGGAGAAACTAGATATTTGTTATTGAGAGTCGGTTTAATTAAAATTGAGATGTCAACAAATGTGGCTATCACCGTAGAAAAACCAGAACCAAACCAATTAAGTGTGAAATGGAAGGTGCAAAAATGAACAGTGCTTGGCTTATCCTCTCTTTTATAATAGTAGTGATAAATATTAAATCGAGTGAGTTCAGGGCAAGGACCATGATTACCATTCCCGACTTGGTGCAAATCTATTTTTATCGTCCAACAAAAAATAAGGATCGGGTCTTTCCTTCCACTACCATCCGAAGTTCAACACTCGTCGCGTTTATGTTCAACTCAAGCAAAACTATTTGACTTATAGTCTACTTATTAATATTTCGTAGCCATTTATATGAAATGTTGAAGATCTATGACATGGTCATCATAAATATACAAGGAATACCAAATCAATATTTACAATTCCAAATCGAGAAAATAAAATTGATTCCGAAAAATGTCCCATATCTTGTTGGCTAGTTTGATATTTGACATTTTATTATCATTAATTGTTTCCTATTTCTCTGTGGTCCTATTGGTGTGTCCCTTGTGTTAGGTCGAGTGTCTTTGTATCGATAGTTATTTGTTTAGGCTGTATAATATATGTCAAGGAATCTTAATAAAACAATATAATATTCATTTTATCTAGTAGGGACCCTTAATTTGTGGATGTAATTAATTCCGTGGAGATAAAATTTTGAAACGTGTATTAAGAAAACTGAATTTGAGTGCGTTTGATTATCAATATTTTTTATGAAAAATGTGTTTTTTTCACCTAATTTTCTATTATTTGATTGACAATTTTTTCCATGAAAAATATTTTCCTATGTTTGATTGCGTGATCATATTTTTTATGAAAGCAAGGAATTTTTTTTTTTTAGGAAAATGTTGGTTTTATTTTCTATGTAATTCACTTTCTCATCCATCCCTTCCCTCTCATCTACCCACCAATAAAAAATGAACAAATATAGCCCATGTTTGGTCCGGATTAAAATCTGATTTTAATCCAAATCAAAGTCAAACAATCAATATTAACAATTTTTCAACCACACATTTCAAAAACATCTGTCACAATCTACTAAAAATCTAATTTTAATCCCAACCAAACACCCTCATAACATTTTCTAGGTTGAAAACTAAATCAATCAAATACATTTAATTAATAATTTCCATACAAATAGATTCTAGCCAGTTGAATTGCTATAATTTATTTTTTTTCCATACAGATTTCATTCTCGCAATCAAACGCATCTTAGAAATTTATGGAGATAAACTGTCCCTTTAACTCTCAAACAAAACTTTATTTCCTATTTTATCCTTCTATATTTAATTTTTTTTAAAAAAATATCTAAATTATATTATTTTTATTAATATTTCTCATTTTCTTAAAACAAACATTGTTATAAATTAATCAATTTGGTTCGTTGTCAATTAATGAAGTAATTTTTTTTAAAATTTTAATGTTAGCACATTTATGTTAAATGTAGAAAATAAAATTTCTGTTATCATAATAAATAAGGTCAAAATTTCGATTATTTTTCTTTTCCTTTTTCTACTCAACATTTTTTTTTATTAATTTGTTCTTTTTTCCTTAAATAAAAAAATATTTTGAAATATATTATTGAGTCGCGACCATGTTTTCAAAAAATAAATAAAATGAATTTTCTTATATATATAATGCTTGTTTAGAGGGATTTTTGGGGGAAGAATTGATTTTTGAATAGTGATATGATGGGAAACGTGTGGTTGAAAAAGAAAAAAAAATTATTTATGTGATGGAAAATATTATTTTAGTGAAGAATGTGTGGTTAAAAATGAGAATTGAATTACTCTAAAATTTGAGAATCAAAAACAAACACGCCCTTAGCTTTTATGGTAATATTTAAATGTGTGTAGGACAGAGGCTGAGGATTTAATTTAGTGACAACTGACAAGAAAGGGATCAGATCCCCATCGCATAGAGTGCGGAATATGCCAAACCCCAATCACAGAATTTACCGCACCGACTCTCTTTACACTTGGTCCCCGACCTATGGCGTTTGTAGTATCTTGGTCATCGACCTAATTTTTTGTTGTTGGAGTTGTTCACAATCTTCGAAAATTGGTGCACAATCAGTCCTCGTAAGCATTTTGTGAGTCCACTTTATCCTCTAATTCCAATGAAACAAGATAAAAAGAAATGAAAAGGCCATATGTATAGATTATTGTTTACATAATTTTTACAATGCAGCACCTGATTGACAATGTTCTTTTTTTTTTTTTCAACTGCGAAAGAAATTTTGAGAAGTGTAGTTCTATAAAAATTCTGTCAAAAATATTTTTTAAGTGTAGCATGATTCAAAAAGAAAAACGTAACTCTAGAAAGGAATATATGTGCTTGTTCTTCAGCCTATCTATAGCAATCTTTTTTTTCCCCTTATGAAATCATGTCTTCAACTGGCCTTGAAACATCTTTTTATGGCCAGAAAATTGACATTCAAGATTTGGTAGTGGTTTGGGGATGGATTTTGCTAGGGTTTGGGCTGTTTCACAAGTTGGTTGCAGGTGGTAGGAAGAGTTTGGAGGGGTCAAAGATGATGGTGTGCTCAACTTTAGATTTTTGGAGGATTAAAATTGATGGCAGGGTTTGGTTATAGACTACCTTTGATCTCGATCCACTCAATTGCCCTTCTTAGTTTGGGGTAGGGCGTAGGGCGCTTATGAATGGAATGCGGTGGTCGCGAAACTGAGGGTAGGATGAGCCAAATGCAGTGGAGAGGGGTGGGCTAGTTGTTCATTAAGAACTTGTCTAGGAGCAATTGTTATAGAATTTTAAGCAATAATATATTCGTTAGACAGTGTTTGGTCCTTGAAATTCTAACATGAATTGACTTCCCCTCTCTAATTTGTGCACAATTTATTACTTTAATATCCCTTTATAAAAATCTCACCTACACCATAGTACGAAGGGTATTTGTGGGAACATCTTACTTGCAGCAGCAATTAATTATGACAGCTATCTGATACTATATACTATATAACGATTGAATTTCTGATTAAAAGTTGGTAAAAAGAGCTCCCAGACAGGCACTAGGACTAACAAGCACTAATTTTAAAAGATTAGGGATGACTTGTACCAAAAAATTAGGTCAAGGACCAAGTTGCTATAAACTTGTATTAATAGAGAGAACTTGAGGGATTGATAGAAGACTGAAATCGTATCTAATGACATTCTAACACGTGTCTCCGTATTAGCATCACGCTCCTCCTACTTTTCCAATGCTCCTAGCTCCAATTTCATATTATAGATAGTGCAGTCAACTGAAAGAGAAAATCAGAGAAAGAGAGATTGAAAATGTCGATGAATCCATGTTCTGCTACACTTTGACTTTGATCCTCAATCTGCCTTCCAGCAAACACACCATTGGCATTGAACACAGAGTTTTGTACATATAGCCCTACTTCACTGTCACAGAAAGATCTGTAAAACCTCGCTTTTTTTTTTTTTCCCATGTTATTGATTTATTTCTTTGTTTTCTGAATACCCTTATCATTCATTTGTAAGACCCATTTTCTCAATTTTGTGCCTTTTAAGTTCTTCGTGTTGTTTTGGTTTCATTTTTATGGTATTGTTGATTGTAAGATAATATTTGTTCGATTGATCTCCGGATATGTCTCGAAGTGGGATTTTTAGGCCTGAAAATCTGGGCCAAAATGCACTAGCAATGATTCGCAACCTCTGCTTCTCATTGTGTGTAATTGGGGTCTTGATTTTCATTATAATGGCTGCAACTTACAAACCCGATGACCCAATGTTCCATTCCGATTCCACATTCAAATCTGATAAATCTGTTTTCAAGACTGGTGAAGACTTGTTGGCATCGAATAAGACTGCCTTTGAGGAGGCCGAGAATCGTGGTTGTAATGGGAAAGTTGATGACCCTATTGATTGTGGTGATCCAGAGGTATTCCATTTGTTAATGAGGGCTGCCATTGACAAATTTAAGGACATAGATTTCTACCGGTTTGGTAGAGCAGTTCGCGGGATCAACAATACTTCTTGCCACATGGCTTGGCGATTTAGGCCTAAAGGGAACACTGCTGCATTTGATAAAGATTACAGAAACTTTGTGCTTGTCAGCGATAATTGTACAGTTAGCGTGGTTGGGATTGGGGATTATCATTCGGGGGTGAATGCGATGAAGAGGAAAAGGAAGGGGAAAGATGCGAAGACGGAAGAATTTGAAAAGCTGAGATCAGAGATGATTGAGGAAACAACGAATGATTCACTTTCTGGGGTGGAATTGGATGGTTCGTTTAGTCGTGGAAAATATTTGGTTTATTCTGGTGGTGGTGATAGGTGCAAAAGTATGCAGCACTTCTTGTACAGTTTCAATTGTATGTTGGGTGAAGCTCAATATTTAAACCGGACTTTGGTTTTGGATTTGAGTATATGTTTGCCTTCGATCTACACATCATCTGGTCAAGATGAGGATGGTAAAGATTTCAGGTTTTACTTTGATATCGAGCATCTAAAGGATACAGCTTCACTGATGGATCAGGGTCAATTCTGGTCAGAATGGAACAAGAGGCGAGAGAAAGATGAATTAACTCTTCATCTTGTGGAAGATTATAGAACTACACCTATGAAACTAGCTAGAGTGGAAGATGCTTTGATTATGAGGAAGTTTGGGACAGTGGAGCCAGATAATTACTGGTATAGAGTGTGTGAAGGTGAGACGGACAAGGTTATTTCACGGCCATGGCATATGGTATGGAAGTCCAGAAGTTTGTTGGACATGGCGTCTGCGATTGCTATGAGAATGGATTGGGATTTCGACACCATTCATATTGAGAGAGGAGAGAAGGCGATGAATAAGGAGCAATGGCCTAATCTTGATAGAGATACTTCACCAGAAGCTCTTCTGGCGACTTTGCAAGGCAAAATGGAAGCAGGAAGGAACTTGTATATCTTAACAAATGAGCATAATACATCCTTTTTCGACCCTTTAAAAGCCAAGTACTCGACTCATTTTCTTGATGAATTTAAAGATCTCTGGGATGAAGACAGCGACTGGTATGCTGAGATGAAAAAGCTCAATAATGGAAAACCTGTTGAATTAGATGGTTACATGAGGATGTCTATTGAAGATGAAGTGTCATTGAAGGCAAAAAAGAAGTTTGAAACTTTTAATGATCTCACCAAAGACTGCAAGGATGGTATTAATACATGCAGATCTGCCAGCTAAATCCATATACTGAAGATCTCAGATTTCGCTTTGTACTCTGTGTTTTGGTTTTCAATTACTTTCAGTCTCCATCAACTATAAGTTGAGTTAAAGCTTGTTTGAATCTTTGGTTTTTAAGGGGAAAAACCCATTATTATTTCATTAGTTGGTATCCTGTAAATTGTTATTTCAGTTGTTGTCTTTATGACTCTTACTGATAATTTTCTTGAACTGTAAACTGAGAAATGTTTCCTTCTGTGTTTGTTAATCTAAATGCAATTACCTTGATAGAAGAGGATGATTTTCATAAAGCCTGAACTGAACTAAAACCTCAGGTCCATGGATAATCAGAAACTTTTCACACTATCTACAACAGATATATTGGTCACCAAAGACCCGTCACTACGAGAGGACGCATACAGAGCAGCTAAGCAAAGGCATCAAACACATGAGCGATGCAAAATCTTATTACATATTCTGTACACACTACGCAGAACAGCGGAACTTCCTCAAAAAGTGATCTATTAAGCGACTCACATTGGACAGGAATCTTCCTCGACTTCTTCTTCAGGAATCATGTTATTCCTGCAAAGAGGACATGTGATGTTCCAATAGTTCAACCACTTCTCAAGACAAGACTTGTGGAAAACATGGCCGCAAGATAGTTGGTTAACCTCTGCATGTGGCTCGAATTCAATCAAGCAGACTGAGCACTCTTGTTTGGGACAGTCACATGTGAACATTGAGTCATACCTAATAGCTGGTGTTCGGCTACGGAACTCCTCAATGTACGATTCTGACGGGCTCTTTTGACAATGAACAGAGTCTAACTGCTCCACGGAGAATTCTTCCCATGATGCAATATGGATGCCAATGAGAAGAAGCACAGAGCGAACAATCTCCTTCATAATTGAAATGGACATGGCTGTGTTTGCCAGAATTACACAGAGTACACCCGCATCAGCCGCACTAGAATAACTTGAAAGACCCATTTTGGACGTGGAACCTAATGAACAATTTGGAAATTTGGACTCAGCCAACACGAGTATAAAATGAGATAAAGCAAGACTGGTAGTCCAAGCACGGATTATCAGTTTCATACACGTTCACGTACGCCAAACATATTCCACTTTGGCAGAGTAAAGTTTTGAGAGGTAATATGGAAAGAAAGTAAATCAATCTTCTCAAGACTTGTTTTTGTCTTTAGGGACAGTACAAGAAAACTAAACCTTCAACCTTTCCCCTCTTTTTTCCTAGTTTTCTATGCAGCAAATCAAATTGGTGAATATATCAGTAAAAGAAGGTTTTGAGACTTGAATTTCTGGATGGAGAGCTAGTACTTCCTTTTGGAAAAGAAATATAAAATGCACTGCCAAACATGATTTTTCTGTTTTTGATATTGCTTCATCAAGACATTAAATGCCATATAATAAGAAAAGAGATTCTTGAAGAATTAAAATGTGATTGCATTCACGTTATCATCAGTATAGGAAGTTCATAGCTAAACATGTATCTACTGTCAGAAACAGATAAAAGCTAACATAATCAAAAAACTATTAAAAACAATTCTCTAAACCACCCTGAAATTTAAGCCATATGAATTATGATGCACTCAAACTATGCCTTTTCTATGATACATCAAAAGAAGCCAAAAGCTTCAAGAATTCTAGAAAACCCCTCTTGGAATAAAAGTTTTGAATGGATCTTCCACTCCAAAACAGAAAAGAACAGACTAGAATTCATTCTGAAGACAGATGTAACTTAATTGTCCATCTAAAATTAAAACAATAAGTAAATATATGAATTATGGGCAAATATAAAAAGATCTGAATTTATATGAAAAAACAAAAGAACTAGAAAATACAAGATCTATGAATTGAAACCCACCAACAAATTCACAGAGAAAAAAAACCCATATTTTTGTTTCCTGAAAGAGAAAAATAAGAGAGACTTACAGGTTGGATTCAGCTCAGAAGTTAAAGCCCTAACAAATCAGGAAAATTTTGGGATAGAGCAAAAGAGAGATCGAAAGGTGAAGAAGTGCCGACAACGGTGCTTCTATCCATTCCAATTTATTTATACAATCAAAATCTGCAGACCCCACCACAAATTTAACGGGATCCACTTTATTTTTCACATTATCATTCTTCTGCTCATTTTCAACTATACATTTTTCAATAAAATAATATTTTTTATTACATCAATAATTTTTCTTTCTTTTTCAACCACATATTCTCTATCACATCAATAGTAAAAATGCAGTCTTACACTCAAAACGTGCACCAAACATTGGGTTAGAATACTTTTAACATTTTCCAGTTGTTATAGCTTTGTCCACTGGGACCGATCAAAACAGTAGTTTCCAGTACTTAAATGCAGACAAAGAACCCAAAAAACAGACTACAGGTCGAACACTGGTCTTGAGACGTGTTAAAAACCGTACCAAATGGACAAATGCGAAACATAAATGCACTTGGCTCTTTTTTTTTTGATATTCAGGTATCTGACTTACATTAGATTATGTCCTGGACCACCTATCTCCGGCCCCTCAGGGATGGGGGGGGGTTAATCGCGGGATATACCCAAATTGATCAGGGTCTGTGCACC